GTATTTTTCATTGCATGACCTGATCTGACAATACAAACCAAGAGCTGAGATATGTACCCATCACTAGCTAACTTTTCAATCATTTACATTGAAATTGGAGCTACAACTTTATAGCTTTACTTAACACAAGTTTGTGAGGGAACACTGTTATAAAAGTGAGGGACACAATAGAAATGATGATAGATTATCTTTCAGCATGACCTTGTGCCTACGTAAAAAGTTAATACTGGCTATTAATCTTCTTTTTCTGAAGGCTGTGTATTACATAAGTGGGCTTAATCCTTTTGTTAATTATCTGTAGAAGCAGCCAATCAACTGCTCTGCATTGTGAGGTGGTAACACCACTTTTTCATCCCAACTTCATTGATAAGACTTCATACACTGGAAGTGTAGTTGAAGTCATTAACAACATCTAATTAATATGTTGTGAGATATCCGTTCTTGTAATGTACGTAGCAACACATACAGCCATTCCAACAAAAGAAACATTATCTAGTTTTTGCCAATTACAATGCATTAGCGACAGCTTTAAGGGTTCAAAATCTCTTCAGCATCTTTCAACCACTCAGCTGTGAAATATGCACATAGTAATGTGTATATGTAAATCAGCAGATTCAATTTCTATCCTGTACTGAAGCACCAGCATGGCTACATTATTCACAGGGTTTTCTATATCACCTGTGACTAGAGAAAGGAATGTATAGATATCAATATTCAAATTAACAAGATTTCATTGTAAGCGTTTAAGGGCAAACATGTTATTGTATGAAATAAATCGAGGTATATATTATATCAATACAAGTATGTCTTATCCCAATCCACATATCTTTTAAACTTCATCCTACACACTGCTCTACACATCCAACACAAACAACCAATCATATTTATCCTCTACTAAACCCAAACATACAGTTTCTTCTGCATCCTCCCACAAATACATTCCCACACACAACATCTCCCCTATCTCCCACCCCATCCTCTAAAACCTATCTACAACCATGCCGAGCATGTCCCTGACCCCTCACACATCTCAGTCTCCCCTACCCATCAAATACAATGGATATAAAATACCATCCCCTTTACTTCCAACTCCCCACACACATTTCTTTCTAAACACTCTCACAGAATTCATTCTCACCTGCTGGATTTGTATCATCCTAGATAAGTGGATAACAGGTCGCTGGCAATATCATGTAGTTACATGTAAATGACAATGTGTTTGTGTTATTATGAGATTAACTGACACTAATATACATAATCTACACAACACTGGGTTTTTATGCTAGATACTTATATCATGTGAGGAATCAGTTACTGTGTTAATGTGTTAAACACAGTGAATATTTCATATCTCCATGTTCTGATGGTATACTGTTATTGTGTGATAACTTTGTTATTAATAATCAACAAAGTAGGACTTTGTCACATCACTACTGGTGGGACATTGTAACTGTGTGATATAGCATGGTTAGCAACAAAGTAAGACTTTGTCACATCACCACTGATGGAACATTGTAACTGTGTGATATAGCATTGTTAGCAACAAAGTAAGACTTTGTCACATCACCACTGGTGGAACATTGTAACTGTGTGATATAGCATTGTTAGCAACAAAGTAAGACTTTGTCACATCACCACTGATGGAACATTGTAACTGTGTGATATAGCATTGTTACTAACAATGTAAGACTTTGTCACATCACCACTGGTTACAATGTTATCATGGTTCTATATCCAGCTGTGTTATATCTGATAACTGTTATTATTGATCTATATCTGCGTTATGTATTTACTAACTGTGTTATATGATCGAGTAGTACTTGTTCATTCCTATCCTGATGAATCCTCCAGGTACTGATGCTTACCCACATTGATTCATTACAAACCAGTTGGTAAATGACAAAGGTCACACATGCTATTAAACTGATGTAGGTTTGCAAAAAATCACTTATTTATGTTTTGTTATATTACACAAGACAATCATGAAAATCATTTGCCATGGTAACGCTTTATTTTTTCAAGTAAAACTGATATAAAATAAAAGACTTCATGAAAATGTATGACCACTTAAAAATTGTGACAATCCATTGCCACAACTATGATGAATTGGTTCACAGTATGAAGGCTATTTGTTTAACACATATTGTGTAAACAAGATGGTATGTCTAGCATCCTAGTTGCCAGGACTTCTGTTTGGCTAGAAATCAAAAATATTTAGTATTACTTTATACCATGTTGTGAAAATCTTATTTAACATTTTTTTTTGCCAATACCAGACACAATATTAATGCAGTCCAACAGATGGAAATTTGTTTACAAAAACCCTTGTGAAATACATTCTTTACACAGTGTGCATTTCTATAATCAAAACTGCAGATTCAATAAATCAACAAACAAATTGACCGTAACATTTTAGCAATGTTGTTCATATGTATAAAATGCTGCAATATAAGATTACACTGTTATTGTGTGAAGTGTAAAGTATATGTACAGCCAAATATTTTAACACAGCTCAATCTTTATAAAAGATAGTCAGATGTAGTAAAGCCTGATTCATGTATTAGAGGATAGAATGTAATATAGCCAAATCTGTATACAAGACACAGGAATATGTTATATAGCCAAATCTGTATACAAGACACATGAATATGTTATATAGCCAAATCTGTATACAAGACACATGAATATGTTATATAGCCAAATCTGTATACAAGACACAGGAATATGTTATATAGCCAAATCTGTGTACAAGACACAGGAATATGTTATATAGCCAAATCTGTGTACAAGACACAGGAATATGTTATATAGCCAAATTTGTATACAAGACACAGGAATATGTTATATAGCCAAATTTGTATACAAGACACAGGAATATGTTATATAGCCAAATCTGTATACAAGACACAGGAATATGTTATATAGCCAAATCTGTATACAAGACACAGGAATATGTTATATAGCCAAATTTGTATACAAGACACAGGAATATGTTATATAGCCAAATCTGTATACAAGACACAGGAATATGTTATATAGCCAAATTTGTATACAAGACACATGAATATGTTATATAGCCAAATCTGTATACAAGACACATGAATATGTTATATAGCCAAATTTGTGTACAAGACACAGGAATATGTTATATAGCCAAATCTGTATACAAGACACAGGAATATGTTATATAGCCAAATCTGTGTACAAGACACAGGAATATGTTATATAGCCAAATCTGTATATCTGTAATTTGTACAAGACACAGGAATATGTTATATAGTCTGATTTGTGTACAAGACACAGGAATATGTTATATAGCCTAATTTGTGTACAAGACACAGGAATATGTTATATAGTCTGATTTGTGTATTAAACAGGCAAATGTAACATAGGCTAGTCTGTATACAAGGTAGGAAAATGTTATGTACAAAATATGAAAATGTGTTTTTGTCTTATTCATGTACAAGATTGGAAAATAGGAAGGCAAGGATTTAAACCTGAAATCAAGCAAGCTGGATGTTTATATATCCATTTGTGATAATCTATAGCTCACAGGGCTGGTCAGTCTGTGTGTAACGGCCAAACGTTCGTGGAACATACCGAGTCAATCGACCGTAACATATAAAGGTACATCAGCAAAACAACACAATGTTGCAGGACATTATGTGCCATTGATTTCATAACTTAAATAAAACCACAAACCTGAACAGCATAAGGAGAAGAAATTAATCACTATAACGTCGTAAAGCTCGTACAAATATTTGATTATATATATATGTATGTTTGTCATATTTGTAAGGTAAATAAATGCATGTGGCTCAGCAGATTTCCCAGGTGCTTCATTCAAAAGATAACACAAGTCGAACCAATATATAAACATATGTGCCTATCTTTACTGAAAGTCTGTAAAATGTATTAAATATATTTCATTATCAAAATGTCAGAGCTGAAAAAAATAGAATGTTGTCTGAAGTAATATGTAACACAGGAGGATAAAACAGAAAGTAAGAAACCTAAGATATACACCTGCTAAAAAATGCTCAAAAAAAAAAGAAATTCTTAAATCATTAATGTGCCATCGTTGTCATATGAGTAAGTAGTGAGATTAAGCCAGTAGATACGTATCTGTATAAATAACATTGCTGTTTCCATGCAAACTATAAACACTGGTGATTAAGCAAAAAGGTTTCAGTAGATAAATCAGATCTTGTCTGAAAAACAAAATCATTATTCTGACCTGTCAAAACAAATTAAAAAAATGTAACAACATAAAAACCATGCATGTCATTATAATAACCAATTTGTACATCAAAGCCAACAAAGTTAAACATTGTTTAAGTAACCAGTAAATCCCTACAGTGTTCAATCTGATACAATGTTTAACCAACTCTACTGTTGTCATTGTATCAATTTAAACAAATTATAAATTTAATAAGACTGAAAATTTGTGACTGAACAATAAATATAAGGACATTTCGGTTATCTGATTGACAATCAAACTACCATACTTAGGGATAGGGCCTCTGTCATTGAACACTAAAGGTAAACAACAAAGACATTTTTCAAGTTTGATTCACACGTGTCAAGTTATAAATCGAATGTGGATTATATGTTATAATGGTCATTACATGGAGACCCATGACCCCACGTGCATCGCTGCCTGTAAGGTGCCCCCGCCATGTGATTCCAACACCCGCGCTCGCTACCAACCCAGCCAGTGTCAACAGTGGGGCCCGGGTTAACGATTGGCCAACCCATTTCGTCAGTGGTAATTCGAAAAAAAATGTTTACATGCTTTATAACGGTATATACACATAATAAACATCACAGACAATAACTGGCAATAGCGAGTTAGAATCAATTGTTTCCAACTCGAACGGAAATGCACAAATGCATGTGAATCCCCCTAATCAATTAGGGTAGCAAAGATAGACCCCGTACTGGATGCTGCTATGATTACGGCTGAGGCGGTTTGTAATCAGAACCAATAGTTTACATACCTCAAGATCCTCGAAGGTTTTGAAACTTATAATAGCAAATCCGTCTATAATATCTTCCTCGCATATCGTGTTGTGTTTCTTCCGCCTGGGCTTCGAGCGTTTGTCTTTGCTCGGCCGAGACGGCGAGTCGTCCATTTCATCTCCACTAGCGTCCGCGGTTGTCTTCCTCTCCCGGCGTTTTGTGAATCGCTGGTGTTTCTTGGTCTCGACCGCGGTCTCCATCGAAATCTCCACGATTCAACAGGACCTGATACACAAATATTAAACCCGCATTGCACACACTAGATAATAAACATGAACTATACGTAATCCTGGCGAACAATATAGGCTAGGGAAGGTAAGAATCCACTGAAATCTCGGAGCTCGATATGTACACAGGCCGCCGTGTTTGAAATGGCGGAGCATACAATATGGCCGAACCACTCAATTGATATGGGCATATGTTCATCCGCGTACAACGCAAAACTAGTACGGTACTATAGTTCGCGCTAGATAGAAAGTGGAATATTTCGGTAACTTCGGTGGAATTTGATTATATAGATATAATAACTATTTGGTAACTATGTTAAAGTTATTGTAATCGTCTTGTACACACACATGTAGACCGTGTATCGATAGTATAGACCTTTTAAATCACCTCTGGCTATGAACTAATGAAGTTGTCGGGACATCTAATAAATCTATTAATGAAATAATTCGATTTTTTTTACTTTCGACATTTAAAAATTATAATGTAAAGTAATATGAATTATTGCATTCTTCTGTATGTTATATCCTTTACTTTTGTCACCTGTTTTTATTTACCTTTTTTGAGAGATTTTAAATGTAATGAGATCTTATCATTTTCTTATTGAGTGAAGGCTGTCAACGTTTTAAGTACATGGGACAACAGAATTTGGTATGTTTCTAACTTAATTTCATTACTTAAAGTTAAATAAATTTACAAAAAATATTTGCTTTCATGTTTAATATATACAATAAAGTGTGATAAAAAAAACACAAAAACACACAATGAACAAACTTAAAAATACAAAAATGGAAACATTATCTTCAAGTTATGAATAATAATTACAACACCTGTTTCTGAAACTTAGCTGATTTCAACCTCCCCCCCCCCCCCACCATTTTTTTTTTTTTTTTGAAATTTGACTCCTTAACATGATCCTACCTCATCTATAGTTGTTAATTTAAACAGTCAAGTAAACAGAATGGTTATGAAGATCACAATATACAAATGTTTAATTACGAAGTTTCGAAAACTTACACAAGGTAGGCTTGATTAAAAGTGCAAAGCTCTGACGCATATTACCTACTAAAGTACAGAATAAACTTTTGTTCTGGAATGTGCAAAAATCATACACAGATGTATTTTTATAGCATACATACATAGTAGAAATCATACATTACCTAATTTTCTTCCTTTTTACACTTTCTAACAAGGTTTCAAAAATTTTCTTTGTTTCTGTTTTTTTCTGAAACATATTAAGGTTCTACAAGGCAAACTTTATATTGTCCTATAACAAGTTAGGAACATACATATGTAATTATATAAATTTGTAAAGACTTTTATGGTGCTATGAAAGTGATATTTTTTTAATATTTAAAACAAAAAAATACAAATCACATATAGAATATATAATGAGAAACTTTTCAGGTAATAGTCAATCTTTATTGCTTCAACATGGCTTTAAATTCATCAGATAATAAAGTTTAAAGGCTGTTAAAAGTTTTCCCTAGAATAGACTGTCACAATCTGGCAATAATATCATATACTTGTTTATTACTATTGATGTTATTGGTGTGTAGATTTCACTATTACAGAGCTCTTTAACAAGAGTAATAATATGATGTTTTCTCTCTTATAAATGATGAACTATTTGTGGAAATCTGCTTGTCATTTTTTTCAAACACTTGTAACAATTTCTGGGTGTGTTTAATTAGTGACATGTATTGGGGTAATTATTTATTCATAAATACATCACTTCCAAGTTTATACACACAGATGTCTACAAAAGAGACAAATCAATGAAATTTGCATTGAGTTACAAAACTTTTCCCATTGTCATCATTTTACCCGACAACCAGATGTTACGTAACCTAGGCTTCAGGTATCAAAATAATCTTCAAATTTGTCACATAGGAATTGTGACTGTTCCCAGTAATGGATGTCATCATCTTCGGTATCATTTACATCATCATAAGCATTATCAATGTTGTCAGGTGTAATACATAGACTTATGAGGACTTAAATACTTCTGTATCCATTATCAACATCTATTATATCATTTTATTTTCATCGTCATTCTTACCTATTGTAAACATCACTTATAAAACAATCTTTTTAATTGGAATAAATATGTGTTCATCATGTATCATTATCTAATAATATCATCACTATTATCATCTAATGATACCCTGTCCTCTCTCTCATCATCACTGTCATCATCTAATGATACCCTGTCCTCTCTCTCATCATCATCATCATCACTGTCATCATCTAGTGATACTCTGTCCTCTCTCTTATCATCACTGTCATCATCTAGTGATACTCTGTCCTCTCTCTCATCATTACTGTCATCGTCTAATGATACCCTGTCTTCTCTCTCAATATCACTGTCATCATCTAATATGATACTCTGTCCTCTCTCTCATCATCACTGTCATCATCTAATGATACCCTGTCCTCTTTCTCATCATCCCTGTCATCATCTTATGATATTCTGTCCTCTCTCTCATCATCATCATCATCATCATCATCATCATCATCATCATCATCATCATCATCATCATCATCATCTAATGATACACAGTCCTCTATCTCATCATCATCATCATCATCATCATCATCATCATCATCATCATCATCATCATCATCATCACTGACATTATCTAGTGATACCCTGTCCTCTCTCTCATCATCACTGTCATCATCTAATGATACCCTGTCCTCTCTCTCATCATCATCATCATCATCACTGTCATCATCTAGTGATACCCTGTCCTCTCTCTCATCATCACTGTCATCATCTAATGATACTCTTTCCTCTCTCTCATCATCATCATCATCATCTAGTGATACCCTGTCCTCTCTCACATCATCACTGTCATCATCTAATGATACCCTGTCCTCTCTCTCTCTCATCATCATCATCATCATCATCATCACTGTCATCATCTAGTGATACCCTGTCCTCTCTCTCATCATCACTGTCATCATCTAATGATACCCTTTCCTCTCTCTTATCATCACTGTCATCATCTAGTGATACTCTGTCCTCTCTCTTATCATCACTGTCATCATCTAGTGATACTATGTCCTCTCTCTCATCATTACTGTCATCGTCTAATGATACCCTGTCTTCTCTCTCAATATCACTGTCATCATCTAATATGATATTCTGTCCTCTCATCATCATCATCACTGTCATTATCTAATGATACCCTGTCCTCTCTCGCATCATCATCATCATCATCATCATCATCATCATCATCATCATCATCATCATCATCATCATCATCACTGACATTATCTAATGATACCCTATCCTCTCTCTCATCATTACTGTCATCATCTAATGATACCCTATCCTCTCTCTAATCATCACTGTCATCATCTAATGATACCCTGTCCTCTCTCTCATCATCACTGTCATCATCTAATGATACCCTATCCTCTCTCTCATCATTACTGTCATCATCTAATGATACCCTATCCTCTCTCTCATCATCACTGTCATCATCTAATGATACCCTGTCCTCTCTCTCATCATCATCATCATCATCATCATCATCATCATCATCATCATCATCATCATCATCATCATCATCATCATCATCATCACTGACATTATCTAATGATAAGCTGTCCTCTCTCTCATCATCACTGTCATCATCTAATGATACCCTATCCTGTCTCTCATCATCACTGTCATCATCTAATGATACCCTGTCCTCTCTCTCATCATCATCATCATCATCATCCTATCCTCTCTCTCATCCTCACTGTCATCAACTAGTGATACCCTGTCCTCTCTCTCATCATCACTGTCATCATCTAATGATACCCTGTCCTTTCTCTCATCATCACTGTCATCATCTTATGATACTCTTTCCTCTCTCTCATCGTTTCCATCATGATGTAATTTGTTGTCTCCTTGTCATTATCACAGTATTCCTTGATATTGTAGATTAGCTTGCCTGTTAGATTGGATTTCCTGACAAAACCTATTGGTCCATCACACACTGTTATCTGATTGTACTTTTATTTGTTTGATACAGATACTCCGAAGTAACTCACCAGGGATTTAGTACTGGTCAGAGTATATAGTAAACTTGTATTACATTGATGTAGTGTTTTATCATCAGACATTTCTCTTAAATTCTGTTTTATTTCTAGTTTTTTATGTTTTTTGCACCTTGTTACAATGTTCTCTAATGTTCCCCTGTGATGAATGTTGTCTGCAAAATACAAGTGTTTAAGCACAGATTCAGAAGTGGGGTAGGGCCATCTGGAATTTATCCTCTGTAAAAGCAGCCAAAATAAGACAATTCTGTTTCTAAATAGACATTATTCCCAACCCCTTAGACCTGTAAAAACTCACTTACCATGGAAATGAAAAGTATTGCCTAGTTTTTCTTTGGGTAGAGTACAGATAAATCTGTTGACTGACAAAAAAGGAATTTTTCTCTTTGTGATCTGGACCACAGATAGTACATTTCAGTGACTCAAAAGTCAGCCAGGGAAAGGATACATTTCTTTATACTGTAGTGTAAGTTGTGTTCTCTGTGTTGATAGGAGGCGTAGTGAAGCTCTGATGTAATTTACACAGTATCTTTGTAAATAAAACAAACTTATCCATCTACATTTGCCAACTTGCTAATGACACCCTGTCCTCTATCTCATCATCACTGTCATCATCTAATGATAGTCTGTCCTCTATCTCATCATCACTGACATCATCTAATGATAGTCTGTCCTCTATTTCATCATCACTGTCATCATCTAATGATACCCTGTCCTCTCTCTCATCATCACTGTCATCATCTAATGATAGTCTGTCGTCTATTTCATCATCACTGACATCATCTAGTGATACTCTTTCCTCTCTCTCATCATCACTGTCAGCATCTAATGATACCCTGTCCTCTCTCTCATCATCACTGACATCATCTAATGATACCCTGTCCTCTATCTCATCATCACTGACATCATCTAATGATACCCTGTCCTCTATCTCATCATCACTGACATCATCTAATGATAGTCTGTCCTCTCTCTCATCATCACTGACATCATCTAATGATAGTCTGTCCTCTATTTCATCATCACTGACATCATCTAATGATAGTCTGTCCTCTATTTCATCATCACTGACATCATCTAATGATAGTCTGTCCTCTATTTCATCATCACTGACATCATCTAATGATACCCTGTCCTCTATTTCATCATCACTGACATCATCTAATGATACCCTGTCCTCTCTCTCATCATCACTGACATCATCTAATGATAGTCTGTCCTCTATTTCATCATCACTGACATCATCTAATGATACCCTGTCCTCTATTTCATCATCACTGACATCATCTAATGATACCCTGTCCTCTCTCTCATCATCACTGACATCATCTAATGATAGTCTGTCCTCTATTTCATCATCACTGACATCATCTAATGATACCCTGTCCTCTCTCTCATCATCACTGACATCATGTAATGATAGTCTGTCCTCTATTTCATCATCACTGACATCATCTAATGATAGTCTGTCCTCTATTTCATCATCACTGACATCATCTAATGATACCCTGTCCTCTCTCTCATCATCACTGACATCATCTAATGATACCCTGTCCTCTCTCTCATCATCACTGACATCATCTAATGATACCCTGTCCTCTCTCTCATCATCACTGACATCATCTAATGATACCCTGTCCTCTATCTCATTAGCGCTGACATCATCTAATGATAGTCTGTCGTCTATCTCATCATCACTGACATCATCTAATGATATGCATCTTTGGATGGATTGTCATTATTGTGAAATCACAACTTGTTGCACTTTGTTTGTCTAGAGTAAAACTGTCAGAATATCTTACCTACATCAAAGAAACATGAAGGTGTTCTCTCAACCACAGTTTCTGTTGTGTGGGTAGGAGGGTTTCTGTTGTGTGGGCAGCAGGGTTTCTGTTGTGTGGGTAGCAGGGTTTCTGTTGTGTGGGTAGGAGGGTTTCTGTTGTGTAAGTAGCAAGGTTTCTGTTGTGTGGATAGCAGGGTTTTTGTTGTGTGGGTATCAGGGTTTCTGTGGGTAGCAGGATTTCTGTTGTGTTGGTAGCAGGGTTGCTGTTTTGTGGGCAGCAGGGTTTCTGTAGTGTGGGTAGCAGGGTTTCTGTTGTTTGGGTAGGAGGGTTTCTGTTGTGTTGGTAGGAGGGTTTCTGTTGTGTAAGTAGCAAGGTTTCTGTTGTGTGGGTAGCAGAGTTTCTGTTGTGTGGGTAGCAGGGTTTTGTTGTGTGGGTAGCAGGGTTTCTGTTGTGTGAGTAGCAAGGTTTCTGTTGTGTGGGTAGCAGAGTTTCTGGTGTGTGGGGAGCAAGGTTTCTGTTGTGTGGGCTGCAGGGTTTCTGTTGTGTGGGTAGCAAGGTTTCTGTTGTGTGGGTAGCAGAGTTTCTGTTGTGTGGGCAGCAAGGTTTCTGTTGTGTGGGCTGCAGGGTTTCTGTTGTGTGGGTAGCAAAGTTTCTGTTGTGTGAGTAGCAAGGTGTCTGTTTTGTGGGTAGCAGGGTTTCTGTTGTGTGGGTAGCAAAGTTTCTGTTGTGTGGATAGCAAGGTTTCTGTTGTGTGGGTAGCAGGGTTTCTGTGGGTAGGAGGGTTTCTGTTGTGTGGGTAGCAGGGTTGCTGTTGTGTGGGTATCAGGGTTTCTGTTGTGTGGGCAGCAGGGTTTCTGTTGTGTGGGTAGGAGGGTTTCTGTTGTGTGGGTAGCAGAGTTTCTGTTGTGTGGGTAGCAGGGTTTCTGTTGTGTGGGTAGCAGGGTTTCTGTTGTGTGGGTAGCAGGGTTTCTGTTGTGTGGGTAGCAGTGTTTCTGTTGTGTGGGTAGCAAGGTTTCTGTTGTGTGGGTAGAATGGTTTCTGTTGTGTGGGGAGCAGGGTTTCTGTTGTGTGGGTAGCAGGGTTTCTGTTGTGTGGGCAGCAGTGTTTCTGTTGTGTGGGTAGCAAGGTTTCTGTTGTGTGGGTAGAATGGTTTCTGTTGTGTGGGGAGCAGGGTTTCCGTGGGTAGCAAAGTTTCTGTTGTGTGGGTAGCAGGGTTTCTGTTTTGTGGGTAGCAGGGTTTCTGTTGTGTGGGTAGCAAAGTTTCTGTTGTGTGGATAGCAAGGTTTCTGTTGTGTGGGTAGCAGGGTTTCTGTGGGTAGGAGGGTTTCTGTTGTGTGGGTAGCAGGGTTTCTGTTGTGTGGGTAGCAGGGTTGCTGTTGTGTGGTAACAGGGTTTCTGTTGTGTGGGTAGCAGGGTTTCTGTTGTGTGGGTAGTAGTGTCTGTTGTGTGGTATTAGGGTTTCTATGGTGAGGGTGGTAGGGTTTCTGTTGCGAGGGTAGTAGGTTTTCTGTGGTGAGGGTGGTAGGGTTTCTGTGGTGAAGGTATTAGGATTCTGTAGCAGTATTACAGACTGTGGTGTACAAGTACTGTAAGTAAAACACTTTGGTCTTTTATAAGATTGAACTAAGGACTTAATATTGTAGTGAATTGTTATTGTGTGGATGAATTCAAAGATTACCTCTCGATTTTCATTTCATTTCATTTCATTGACCTCCTCAATAAATGTTATTTTTCTCTATATTGAAACCCCTTATATTACTGTTTATTTATTATGCCTTATATGATGTCCTAGATGTCCGTGTGAAACGAAAACCAAGCCTTCGATTATTTTTGTCATTTTATTTCCAAATCAGTTTAGAGGGGTATGGTTTCTGTTTCACAGGTCCATGAAGTTGTCCCTCACAATGAAGATATCACAGGCCTGCTACCCATGCCAACAGAAGCCCACGTTGTGGGGTTATGTACAGTAAGACATGCTTATATACACATCAAGGTTACTTGTTGGACCTCTTGATGTGCAGACTAATACTCCTTTGAGCCATATTGTTGGTTTAA